ATACACCTTCTGTTGATAATTTAGGTAATGCGTCTTTAGTGCAAGATACTAGTTTTTGAATTTTGTGTACTGTACCAAATCTTACTGTAATGTTTTGCTTTTGCAAAACACGGGCTAATTTGTCAGTTACTCCTGAGATATATGGATTTTTTATTGTTTTAACAATCTGATCGCTTTCAGCAGTATTACTTTGCGATCGTGATTTGGCATTCAGTGCTCTGTTAATTTGAGCATTATTGTAGCCATTCTGTCGTAGTGCTTCTTTAACGTGTACGTTACGTTGCTAGGGGCAACTCCTGTCAGCGTTTCGCGCATGCGCAATTGCGTGCTTTGCCCCGCGCAGGGCGTCAAAAATATACAAATGAAGAGAAATCGCAAAAACGCTTAACAAATTTAAAGATAACAAACGGGAAAATTGAATAGAGCTTGTCCACCGCAGGGCTTACGGCGTGCTGGCTGGCACATTTTTTTGGACTTAAAGCCCACCGTTCGAGAGCGCGCGGAGACTTTTATATATTAGAAGATGGTGGTTGCAGAGTGGTTAGCGCGCTTACGCTATGAACCCGAAAACCTGAATTAAATCCCTGGCCATGGCTAACACCGGTGGTAAGTGATATCTAAACAGGTCCTCACTCCCCTTGACCAACCTGTGAAATCTGGTCAAATAATCCCCATGACTGACACGACATAGGAAGGCCTTCATCCAGCAGTGGACGAATAAAGGGCTGTTCATTATTCATTCTCACAAGACAAATGAACAAAAAATTCAGACTGCTCGTGCATTATCTTTTTTTTCTAATGTTAAATTACGTAGGCAATATGGAGAAGTAAGCCTGGTTCCATTAAATCTTGAGTGCTGTCGTGTTGTTTGAGATATTTACCCCCTTTTTTACTGTGAATTTGCTATATTATGCATTTTAATTGCCTGCTTAGAGAACAAGACTGCACAGAAAATAACACTAACATTTAAGTAGCACTTGGAGATCCCTTGAATGTACTTTCGGAGTAATGTTAAACATGCCGAGGGCTGCTATTGCTGTATCGTGACATTTTTGTTACCTACACAAATCCTCGCGCACAGAACTGCACGCGATGTTACCCGCAGCTTTTAGTTTCTAAGGCTGATGCGCTGCATACAAACTGGGGCGATTTAGTTCTTTTCACAACATCCATGCTTCCCAAGCACTGCGCTGTGATAATTGTGATGCTGATACTAACGATGATTTAACAATGCACTAAAATTCGGTGGTGATTTCACATTTGCAGTAGTTAATGTTACCAGGTCTAGATACAAGCTTACAGAATAAGAGGACGAAGTTATTGTAATAGGGATTTATTGGCACAGTGTAACATAAAACAACCCCACACTGCATTCGCGGATCGTAAACTGCATGTGTGCGAAAGAATAATACGCGCACGTATGTATAAGCGACGGTGATTTTGGCCGAGTGGTAGCACACCTGTCGCGTGTTGTTGACGTGTTGCGGTTCGAACCCACGGGTGCCCTGGTTTTATATCGCAGATGTTTTGACCAGAAATACGCGCTGCCTGATTAGCAGTGGTTGATAAAAAAAAATCCCGTGACGAAGCCACCCCTTCCCCCCCCTGGGGGAGAATAAATACCCAGAGGGCACAGCTCCTGGATTTGTAAACCTTTGTTTTGTTTGCCCGCCTTCTGTCGTGATCGCAGTTTCGGGTTCGATATTTTGACTTTGACACATTCTGACAACTTACTCGCAAATTACGTGAATTAACCAATGTAATGGTCATAATGTGCATCTTCAAGCTGCCATGTTTTATAATACAAGCATGCCAAACTAAATTGTGGTTAGTATATGAAGTTCAAATTCTATGCTGATAGGATCTGCTGTTTGTTGTACATCATTATTACATTTTAAGAGCCATACATTGTTTGTAGTTTGTTTCTCATCAAGTGTAAATGGATAGAATCTGCCACGTGCATCTTGTTTTGAATTGAACATTATTCACCTTGTCCAAAAACGTTTGTGCAAAAAATATTGACAATGAATTATTTTATTTTACTAATGTGCTTACCATTTCCACCGGGGTGGCCTCTCGGACCGCGTTACATGCGACAAACTACTTGCATCTCATCTCAAAGCTGTCAAAAATAGGTACTGACCATGTGCAGCACTTGGTAACGCAGCATCTGGCCTGCAAATAGGAATTAGTCCTCCAGTCGGGAGCGATGTTTGTTTTGTCACTAGAATGGATGTTAATGGTGTATTGTTTTTTTACCAGTGTTAAGTAGTTTTAGAAAAAAAATTATCCATACCACACACTTAACAATACTTTATTCTGATAAGTGGAAATTGTTGTATATAACAAAACAAAAAATATAAACTTTGTAAAATTCAATTTTCTCATTTAACCGTCGTCTTGTTAAGGCTGAACAGCAATGCAGTATTAATGCAATAATAATAAAGAATACGCATAACTTTACTTAATCATCTTAGATTTAAATACTTGCTGAAAATGCCCAGTTATGTGCAAGTACATTTTTTTTCGTGTACAAATGTCAGTGGTGCCTCATGTATTTAAAACAAAGAAATGGACCTCCGTTTATTGTTCTATTGCTTGAGCCTGTGCCCATTTTCACAATGTCTTTCTAGATATTTTACACAATCACAGTTTTGGAAATTAATGGAATGAAGGACCATTGCACACACTTCTCCCATCGTGTATTCCTCCTAAGGTAGCCCCCCCCCCCCCCCCATACATAGCCTCCTTTCTACTTTGTTCTCCTATTATACGCTGTCCAGAGGACTAAATAATTGCTTGAGAAATGAGTGGCTCTCGTCTGAAATAATGCTCAGATTGGCCTCTTGTTGTTAAAGGTGCTTCCAAAAGTGGGATGTGAAATACAGCACGCACAGTGTGCAGAAACAAACTGTCCATATAGATTGTTTTCCCCCAATTGTACCTTCCCCCCCCCCTCGCGCCTTCCTACCGCCCACAGCTATTCGTATTCAAAGTGTCTGATCAAATGACCATTGGAGGGTAGGTGCTTGTATTTACGTTGACAGCACAGGAGGCAAAGGTAAAAACATGTAAAATTTCAGCCTCCGGCGGTCTCTTCATAGGGTGACCCACCTGCAGCAGCAGCATCATCATCATCGTCTCTCAAAGTGGTATTCGTTTTTTTTTTACCCCAATGGGGTGATAGGCTAATTTTACGTCCGACTGGGGTTGAACGTGCAACGTTCCGAACGCGAGTAAAGCTGCAGCGCCTCTCCGCCCGATTGGCTGCTTCTGCCATTGGCTGTTATACCCATTCCTCATTTAGCACGCTTCAGCCTCCGTCCCCCGACTTGCCCAAGCCTCTTCGCGACTCGGCACATTGCAAGGCTCGCTGCTCGGTTAAGCAGTCTGCCGAGGATCTATAAACCCCTTTTACCGTATGCCGATGTTCAACGCAATCATGGTGGCAATACATTTCATGAAGATAAATAGATGTATACGTCTTGTTTAGATATTAGGTAAACGTTTTTTTGGGGCGGAATCGGTTGCTTTACTGCTTACACCAATAGTGTTAGCAAGCCACTATGTGCGTAATGAAATTATTTCGCACCGTAAGTTGTCAACCAAAATACCGTTATGTCTTTATAAAAAGGCATTAAAAAATAAAGGCATATAAATAACTAGACCTATTCATCTACCATTCATTCACGATTGTATGTGTGCAGAATATATCGCAAAATTAGCCGTTTGGTATCTACTTGCTTTAAATTTGTTTTTTTACATTTCTTAGCTCTTTGTCAAAGAATAGAAACATTCCATAGCAGCTTTCTGCTGCAACACATATTAACATTTTTACAATGAACACTCAACCAAACGCCACGAGTAGCTAGAAATAAAGAGTTGACATTTATACGATGCGTTCGCCAGTGTGCTTCTCCTTGGGGTAGATTTTTTTCAATCATGACTTTTATGTGCAGTAGTACATAGTGCGCAGTTGTGTCGGTAGCCTATTAAGTCGGAGCACTTTTAATTGGCAGTGCTAATGTTGCTGGATGGTATTATCACAGGTGTATTGGTTAAGAGTTTTAGCCGCATGGGGCTGTAATTGAATTTCGCAGTCTGACTTTATGGCGCTCAAGTGATTACTTAAAGGTAATATAACTCGAGTGGACGTAGAAAATAGGCCAATAACAACAGCTGCATTGCCCAAATTAACCACTTTGAACCCTTTTTGCACCTACAGGACTTTGCAGGAATGTGCCAGGCATTATCATTTAATGGATCCCATTATTTGCAGGAACTAATACACACCCGTATTAAAGAGTTCATTACACAGTGCAATTTTGCTAATATAGCTGTCGGATGTGGTTTTTTTTTGGGTTGGACCGCATCTTATCTGTTTGACGTTTCGCACCAAGTGCTGGGATCTTCACGAACTTAAGTTGAAAGCATATTGTAGAGCAACAAGGAATCGTCTGTCCACTAAATCACGTGTATGCAAATACAGCGTCGTGTATATATATAGACTGTTAATTAAGAGAGACTTGCTATTCTGTGTTAAAACATGTTTGGTAATGTGCTCGACCGTACGTACTTTATCGAGCTTATAACTGTTGAATAATACAAACAACTGTTGTAACTGTGGGTAATAACCACGAGGGGCCGCCCATAAATGACGTCACGCGATTTTGGACGATTTTTGAACCCCCCCCCTCGTCACGGCGTCACAAAAAGTCAGACCCCCATCAAATATGACGTCACAAAGCTCTGCCCCACCCCCCCTCCCAACTAAAACATGATTCAAATCGCTTTAAACTATTGTCAGTGTAGTCCGTATTTAATGTGTCGCTGCACTCTGATGTTGCAGGAGTAAACATTTATTAATACGTCTTTAATTAAGTAGAACGTGTTGTCTATATTTATTTAAAGTTGCGCATTTTTTGATGTGACGTCACAATTATTAACCCCCGTCCTCGTCACACATCGTTACAAATGTCTGACACCCCCCCTGCCAGGTGTGTGACGTCATTTATGGACGGCCCCCGAGCCTTAATTCTTGTTGTGTGAAGGCTGCTGGCCCGTGCCTCGTCCGGCGTATCCCCTGCGCACTGAACGACTCTGGTCGCCATCAGCAGCCGCACGTTTGGACTGTGGGATCGCGTGCCGGGCCGTGGGTGAGGTACGAACGTGGCGTTTGCGTCAAGAAGCTTAAACCATCAAGCGAACTCCGGTCATCCTAGCAGCAGCGGCTACGTACGATGCGAAAGAAGTTCGGAGACCCTTTGGCCTAAGGGGCCGTCCATAAATTACGTCACGCACCTATGGAGGGGAGGGGGGTCAGACATTTGTGACGATGTGTGACAAGGGGGGGGGGGGGTGGGTTTGAGAAATGTGACATGTAAAAATGCGCAACTTGAAGTAACTCTTTGGCTTTTGATTTAAAGCTTTCGTGACTGCAGGGATTCATATTCTTGGTTCTTTCGGTAAAGTCACGTAGAAGGGAAACAATAAAATAATAAAAATATAAAACAATAAAATTCTCACTACGTTTCTTGCTGTGGTTTTCACACCTGATGATGATTGCTTGTGTTGCAGTCGAAACGTCGTGAGAATTTTATTGTTTTATATTTTAATTTTATTATTTCCCTTCGACGTGACTTTACCGAAAGAACCAAGACAATAACTCTTTGGCTCTTTCGGTAAAGTCACGTAGAAAGAAATTAAATAATAGAAGACGTTTCGATTGCAACACAAGCAACCATCATCAGGTACAAATGAATGCGAAAACAAACTATATAAAATATAATGCAATACAACACAGAGTCGGTCAACAAAACAATCAACACCCCACCTGGTTGATTACGTTTTTACAAAGATTGCTACATTTGAGAGAGAGAGAAAACATAGACATGGAGACACACAGACAGACACAAGCAGAGAGACTCACACAGAGACGAACAGAGACACATAGAAAGACAACGTCTCTCTGTCGAGGCCTTAAATAGAGAGAGAGGGGCAGGGGGCAGAGGGGGAGATGTGTGGAATTCCTGCCCATAAGAGACGGACGAGCTGGACACTGAACTTCTAAACAAACAAGCGCGGAGCATTGTGTGGAATTACTGCCCATAGCAGCCGGAGGAGAGAATGGACTTATAAACAAGCACGGTAGAAAGCAAATTTAGTAAAATTAGGAAGTGTAATGCAATGCAACACAGGTTGGCAAGCAGTTAACGCAGAGCCTGGTTGATTACGTTTGAGTCTCTCTCTGTTTGTGTGTCTGTCTGTGTGTCTCCGTGTCTCTCTCTCAAATTTCTCAATCTTTGGAAGAACGTAATCAACAAGGTGGGGTGTTGACTGTTTTGTTGACCGACTCTGTGTTGTATTGCATTATATTTCCAAGATTAGTATGTTTGATTTCTCATTCATTTGTACCTGATGATGGTTGCTTGTGTTGCAATCAAAACGTCGTTTTCTATTATGATTTTCTTCTATTTCTTTCTACGTGACTACCGAAAGAACCAAAGAGTAATCCTGCAGTCACGAAAGCTACGAATCGAATTTGAACTTTAAATATAAACAACACGTTCTATTTAATTAAATATAATTGTTATAAAAACACTAATTTTGATACATTTTCATTATGAACTTTTTTATTACTTCAATTTATTAAGGTCACCTTTTTATAGTATAGATTATATTACAATGTTAAACAAGAACCGGAAGTCAGACTACGTCACACTTTTATAGAGAATAATACTTCGTCAGGAAGAGGAAGTGCAAACATGAAACGATAACATTTATAATAATATAGAGAAGTTTTTGGGTACAAAGATATCAAACAGACATTTTTGAGCATGGAGGGATAATTAATCATAGAGTGCCTACTAAGTATACGTCATTCGGCAAGCGTACAATAGCCAATGCATCCTCCATGATTAATTATTCCTCCATTAAATGTAGTTCTTTGTACCCAGAAAATGGCGTCATGCTTCTTTTCGCCATTGTTCGACCATGAACCATGAGTGACTGAATTTAATCATTTAGGATGTTTGATTTAACTACGGAGTTCCCTTATGGAAATGAAAATAAAAATTAAAACCCCTCACGATTCAGTGTATCGTATGCACGATTTAGTGTTATATGCGCAAAAAATAATAAATTGTGCGCAATTAAACTTCTGGCGTGGGAGGGGTTTTGCGATGGTAGCAAACCCGGCGACAAAATGGCTATAATAAGACGCGAATCCTATTAAACTTCGCAACTCCCCCACCGACGTGGGGGTCGGCCAAGTCCGAACACACGCTGTTTTCTCGGGGTCCGTTGCAATGCCCGATTTGCTGACAATGTGACCGAGATACCGCACGGATTTTTGCAGGAGGTGACATTTTTGTCGCTTAAATTTGAGATTTGCGACACGCATTTTGAGGACAGCACATAACCGATCAAGATGTTCTTCGAACGTACGGCTGAAGACGATAACATCGTCGAGGTATATCAAGGATGAGTCCCACCGCAGTCCAGCTAGGACCAACTCAATCACTCATTGGAACGTATTAAAATTCCAGAACGGACAACAGACGGAGCATCTCATAAATTCCCATCTCTGTTTGCAGCACAAAGTTTGAAAGTGGATTACATTCTTCCTCTCTCTTCAAATCCTTATCGGTCGATTCCATATGACTTGTACTGTCCGTCATTACAATGTGCTTAGCGATAGGATTTGCAAGAAATGTCACACATGCTTCGCGTCGTTAGTCATGCTGTGCAGCTACTCTGTGTCACACAAGCAGGAATCAATTATTATTCCGCCCAAACGCATCAGGCCACAGAGTCGCTGCACGTCGGCAATGTGAACTAATGGTTGTAATCGTGAACGAAGAAAATGGAGAGTGTGCAGATTGGATAGACGAAGAAGAGCTTGATCTGAATGGAATATCCATTCCACAGGATGAAGAGATCCATGCTCTCCCTATTTATTCCATGAATGAGTATTTTGCTTCTACGTGGGAGAATGGATATGCATACATTTTGTACATTTGTTGAATGTTTGTTATTAAACATTTTGATTCTAATTATTCTACCAGGGCTTTTCATTCTGTGGAATGAATGTGATTGTTATAATTGTACTCTCCATTTTGCTTCGTTCTACTACGAAGTTCCAAGTTATAATTACTTTTAATATTTGATAATTATAAGAGAATTTCAATAATATTCTGAGCATCTGCAATTTTAGTTAGACGATGAATATTTTCAAATTAATTTTATGCTAAATTTCAGCTTTCCAACGCCTTTTTAATACATGTTTTCTCATACAACATCAGAGTGCAGTGCCACATTAAATACGCACTACAATGACAATAGTTTTAAGTGATTTGAAGCATGTTTTATTTTCAAAATGGAAATATGGTTTGGGGGGGGGCAGATGTTTGTGACGTCATATTTGAGGGGGTCTGACTTTTTGTGACGCCGTGTGACGAGGGGGGGAGGGGGGGGTCAAAAATAGGCCAAAATCGCGTGACGCCATTTATGGACGGCCCCTAACCAGCCATTTTATTATATTTGCTTAATTTCTCGCAATGGAATTCCATCCCATCATCTCGCTTGCTAAGTTCTTACAACCTTGTTTTCAACTCAAGAAATGTAATAACTGTTTATCTGTCTGATGTGTGTCTGTTCGATTTAAACGCGTACATGCTAAACAACATGCGCTATAATGCGGACCTGTCAGAGCTAACGAGCACAACCGAGAATCCACGTTTTCTATTAAAAAAAAAACATGTTAGGAAATTTGCAGTTCCATCACAAGGGATTACCAAGGTAAAAATGTCTGGTAAATAAAACAAGTGTTCACCTAACCTCCATATTGATTTGACAGACAAAATGAGCCGGCCTAGTTTTTTGTGGGCTGCTCAGTGAGGTATGACCAGTACTGTTACATTCAGGCTATGTGCACCTGTGCCTGTATCCTGGAGAGAAAAAAAAACGACTTTCCCATTTTTATATTCATAATAGAATTGAGGTTAATCCCAGTCATACGGAAACTGCCATGGTGTAATGGTCAACACACTGGACTTTCAATTCAGTTGCTAGTTTCATCTCCTGGCAAGGCAGTTAACACAGTAGGCAAGTTCCTTACCCCACCCTCCCCCATCCTTGACCTCTGTTCTCACACCAATATTAGTGGTACCACCAAAGGGTCGTGATCAGCAAGTCGCGTGTAGTAGGGTAAAGAGTGGGTACTCCCACCTTCCAAAATGTCTGGCCTGCCTGGAAGAGAAGGTCCTTAGGACCCTAGTTAGGGAGCTGTTTAAAAGCTCCCACTTTGGAAGCCCTGCTGCCTGCAGTGACGATCGTAAGGCTTAATATTGACCACTCAACTCGGCTAAAGTATGAAAACTGCATTATCAGTAAATGCATTTTGTGTGCTCAAGCCAAATTGGATAATGACTATAAAATGCAAAACCTATCGTCCTTATAACGAAACTTTAGTTGGATCAACCTCCATATGTTGTTCGCTAAATATCCATGGCCCTGAACTAATCCATTGCATGACAATGGTTAATGATGCATTTAACAGTTTACCATGTAATCTTTGACAAGCAAATGTCGGGGTTCAGCCATGATTTTGCTTGATAAATTGATCCATTTATTTCGGAAACGGGAAAGCAAATGTCATCCATCACGATGTTACCAGCCACGTATCACTGCTGACACGCGTAGGGTTAATGTGAACACAGCAATTCTAAGATTTGCATGCATTTCCCTTCATCCTCCTTGAGCTTCCGGCATTGATGTAAATTTTAAATAACAAAACTATAGTTTAAATGCATGCATCATTTACCGACTGCTTGTATCGCTTTGCATAGATGGCATAACTATTAATCCATCATGAACTATAATGGAATAAATTAATGAACTGTTGAGACTAAAGTGTATAGTCTACTTTATACTCGGATGAGACTGCAAGTGCTTTTAAGAATGTTTAAGGAATAAGTAAATGGGTAAATTAGTCAATAATGAAAATTATGTTTACATGTGGGGGATGCGTTTTATTGTTCTCGGTAAAAGCATAGATTTGCATAGTGAGTGTTAAATGTTTTGCTAATTACATTAACGTCTGATATGAGCAGTGCAATTACAAACAGGCAAAAGTCGTAATAACATTTCTCATTTTAATTA